TGTGTATGAGAACACAGATGGGCTGGGTAAAACTTAAGTAAACATTAACTTTTTCAGAAAAACTGAAATGAAATAAAAAAACACAACATAAAAACATAAAGATATGTAAAGGTTCTAAGAGTTTGTTACATTAAGACACTGGATTCTTTTATTAGTTTGTGCAAATTATAGATCAATCACTCCAGGAACTGGAGGGTGACAGCTACAGTAACCTATGACTCATGTACACTAAATTAAGCTAAATTCCATATTCATGAACGTTAACTAAAATGTTTTGTGCTGTTATGTTATTGATAAGGCTGTTATGTTATTGATAAGGCTTGGAAATATAACTAACACAGGCCATAAGCCTGCAGTAGCACAGCAACGCAGTTAGCTGCTACAGGAATTTAGAAAAGCAGTTTAAACTTAAGAAATTTTGCTCTAAGTGCAAAATTTACACATGCAAACCCAACGCTTACATTTAAGAACCCGTAGGGAAAGAAAAAGAGAAGTAAAATCATCATCCTGGTTCTGTATTGGCTAAATAAAGCATATTCCAGAAAGCATTTTCAGCATATACACTTGCTTTGCTCTCATCACAATCTGAAAAGCACAACCTTATGATCTTACAGTGTCAGCAGAATGTGATATAAAAACCGTGCTGGGAAAAATGTTGCATTAATTGCTTTTGGTCAGAAGGAGTGGGGGTGTGATGACACACTGCACACATCTGTCCTGCTGAGTCACAGGTTGTGCCCTGTGAGCTCATCTGATTGGCTTGTGGGTGAATTACAGCATAATCTATATTGGGGGGGTGCGGGTGGTGGGGGGGGGGATGCATAAGAACTATAATCATCAAAGGCCAAGAGAAATATTAGACAAAAAGAAAAGCTCTTGTAAAAGTCTTTTGGGGAGTTTCATTGAGTTTTTCAGTTTCTATTTTGGCCATAAAAACCTTCATAGTAATTTTTTTAATAGCAATTTCTGAAAAACTAGGCAGGTGCCTTACTAACTGCAGAACATTTGTTCTTTTGTGTACGCCAACTGTTCAGGATTGCTCATTTGGGGAGGCGCATGGTGTAGAGGTAGAGCAGTTGCTATATGTAGAAGAATTTTCTGAAGTATACATTTACTCAGCACAAACTAAGGTCAAAATCAAAGTGTCATATATAGAGGTTGAAACTCAGTGACATCAATGGTGTATGGTGTGTTTGAGTGGATGATGTATGTGACAGATTTGTCATGTGCAATCAAAAATAATCTAGAGAGCAAAAGGCAGCAGCATCCCCCTGGAGGAAAGCAGAGGCAAGGCAATAACTGAAGGTTTTACCAGGTGTCCCAAGTTAGTAAATATCCGATGTAACCCCAAGTGTTGGGGTTTGATTCCCGACCCTGAGACCTTTGCTGCATGTCTTATCCTCCTCTCCCTCTACCCATTTCCTGTCTGATCTGCTGCAAATAAGGGCCACTAATGTGTGAAAAACCTTTAAAAAAAAAGCTCATTTGCCTGGTTCACAGCACCACGACGGCCAGTGTGCATCTTTGTCTAAAATGTGTGAGGTGATGGCAGGGAGCAGATCGATGTGTGGAAATAAGTAATTTCAGGGCTTCTTTGAAAATGAAATCTACTTTTTATTTTTTAATAACACTATAAGAGGTTTAGAGCAATTTCTCAAAGCCTTCTGTTGCTCTTCTCTTGTATTTTCCTTGCCTGTGAGCCACAGATTTAGAAATGCCTGAGAGACTTTAAGACCCACATATGAGTCCCATACATTACAATATGTGTAATTTCTTTTTGCCTGCCATGAACAGGTTCATAGCGTTAACTTTATTTATAGATTACTCAGACCTTTTGAGCTTTTCTTTAAACGCGTAATGTGACTAATCATCTGTCAGGCTTTGAGGCGGTAATGTTAACACTTCATGTGCTGCTACGACTCATAACACAAGCGTTGTTTCTGGAACAACAGAAGAGTCTTGTTCTTTTTCAGTTTCTCTGATGTGAAAGCAAAGGGAAACAAAAGAGTCACAGATTTTTGCAGCATTTCAGCATCAACTTCAGAACAGGTTGTTATCTAAAAGCAAAGCAAAAGGGATCGGAATTTCAAATGTAGACAGATGCTGCAAAAACAGGAAAGAAAGACATTTTTAAACATAACTGTCTCCTCCTTCTTCATAATGCTGCATTTAAAAGGTTAAGTAAAAACCACTATTGAAAAGCTTGTACTAATTCAAATTCCTTTGCCCTTTTCTGTTTTCTCTGAGCACTGTCTCACTTCGCTTCTCTTTTTCATCTTTCAGGAATTCGCTCTGAAGCCTGTGGACCTGAGACGGCCCGAGGGCTCTGACATACACCAAATCCCTGCCCAGGGGAATGGTGGAGATTAAAAACTTCTGATTGAGGTAGAGAGGGAAGAGACACAAAGACAGGGAGGCAGAGACAGAAGAGGAAAAAAGCTTATGGTTCACCTTTGTTCTTGTTAATACCCCGAGTGAAGGATCTCCAAAGAATAACACAAGACACAAAAACAGCTGTCCACAACAGTGGTCAAAGGATGGAGTGAGTAAAAGAAAAGAAAGAAGCAGGATTACATCCTGAGAAAGAGCCAAGATCATATTCTACTCTAATTGAATGCCTGAGAGAGGGCATAGACATGAGAGGAATCCTTTTCTGTGAAAACTGCTTCAAGAGGCAGTGCAATTAACCCTCTGGCCATTATAAAATAATACCTGGCTATTGTTGTTTCCTGATTGCTGGTGTGGATTCGTGCTCGGATGGTGATCATGTTTCAGCCTCCAGCCTGTAGACTGAATCAGAATGGCTGTCAGAGAAACATCCACATTCTGCTGCTGCTGCTTCTTTACAGTTCCCTCAAGGCCTCTTTGGCTGCCAAACCCAAAGGGCCAGGACAAACGCATTTGAACTCCATCCGCATTGACGGAGATATCTCCTTAGGTGGGCTGTTCCCTGTGCATGCCAGGGGCCATGATGGCAAACCCTGCGGGGAGCTGAAGAAGGAGAAGGGTATACACAGACTGGAAGCCATGCTCTTTGCCCTTGACCGCATAAATAATGATAATAATCTCCTGCCTAACATCACATTGGGAGCGAGGATCCTGGACACCTGTTCCAGGGACACTCATGCCTTGGAGCAGTCGCTCACCTTCGTCCAGGCTCTGATCGAGAAGGACGGGACAGATGTCAAATGCCTCGGCGGGGGGGCGCCAATCATCACCAAACCTGAGAGGGTGGTGGGCGTCATCGGCGCGTCTTCGAGCTCCGTTTCCATCATGGTGGCCAACATACTGCGCCTGTTTAAGGTAAGATACCGCCAGAATGCAATGCAGAGAAAAACACAGCAGAGAAAAGATTTATGATGTGTTTGCTTTATTGATCGCCTCATGCACAGTATTTGTTTGAATAATTAATAACTGAAAAAGAACATCAGTAGCTGAAGTATAAAAGAACACTGGACGTCTGTGCGCCATGTCTGCAGCAACACAATGGACATTCCCATAACTTCAGAGAAGAGATCCCCATTGTAAATCTCATCATTCTGACTGTTGCCCCGGAGGACTCGGGTTGCTAGGCAGTGAGAGGTATTACCTGTCACAATACAGGAGTGATTAATAAGATTCCTGATTTCATTTTTTCCCCAAAGCCTTTCACACAATCAGTTAGGTGTTTACATTTGCCCACACTACAGAAAAGAATATGTTCTGTTCATACGCATTTGGACTTTTGATGAATTATTTAACACATATTTTGTTTTCTTGGCAGTCAGCTGTTGCAAAAGTCCTAGTTCTTTTTTTTTGCTGAAGGTCTGATTTCTTTATAGAGGTTGGCTCACCAGAAAACAGCATTTAAAAAAAAGAGTTACTATCATGTTGTTGCCACGGATTTGTGGGTATTGCACATAATTCATAGTTATTTCAGTGGTGCAGAGGATTACATAATTCAGTCACAATTGACACAAGCAACATTTTTTTTTCTTTCAGTCAAAACTTGGACTTTAAAATTTATGATAATTCTATGCCTTAGTCATAACGGGGTAGGGAGAGCAGAGAGATGTCTTGATATTGCACAAAAATTCATGTCTAACATAAACACACTCCTCTTCACCTTCTCTTTCCGAGTACTGCTGAATGTGAAGCTGTCTCCAACTCTGCAGTGGGTTACAGGTGTAAAACAAGGACATGGCTATTCAACAAGTAATGCGTTTTTTTATAAAAGGTATATAAACAGAATACAAGAAGTAGATTTTCAAGTAAATTAAGGCAAATTCATTGCTGCCTGTTAAGTATTTAGCTTCCAGAGACTGGCAAACGGTCTTTGCTGAACCATAAAATTGTTATAATCTTCACAATATTTGCAGATAAATAAGTCATGAAAAATAATCATTAGCTATATTGTCAGATATTACAGCTGGAAGGCCTGAGATTATAATGCATGGTGTTTCTCTCTGTCTGCCTGGTTTATTTTTTTTCCCAGCACTCCTGCCAAAAGTTAATGGACTTAATACTTTTATTGCTTGAAGTGCTGTCACAATAAGAAAATTATGACCTCTATATTATCATACCAAACAATTATGATAGCGAAACAATATCATAGCCAACCGAGCTGAATAAACGGAAGACGCATTGTGATTCTTTGTTTTTCAATTAATTTTTTTTGTTAATTTTCAGTATAATTTTAGCTTATTACTATCGTTATAATTATTTGAAAGTTAGCTTAAGTTATTCACAAAGCGTAGTTCATTTAGACAATAAACTTTTAAATTAGCTTCACCTTCTCTGAGTTAGCAGGAGGTGTGATGTTGTTAGCTTAATGGTCTTCCAGGGTTTGGTAAGGCAAGATCAGCTTTTTTACCTTCACCACTAGGTGGAACCATGTAAAACAATTTCCTATGTTTGTCCTGGTTAAAATAATTACTTTTACCTTAGAGTTAAGTTGGTGTGGCTCTTTTTAAAGTCATTTTCACTTTGATGCAAACAGTTTGCTTTGTGGGCTTATGGGTTAGCCATGAACTGTCCTGGTGCCTCACTGATGCAAATCTGAGTTCTGATTTAGCTTTGCTCAAAACGATAAAATCATAGATCATAAATTAACATTAAGATATTGGAGTTTCAATGTTGTTAATTAAACCAGAATTATCCGTGCATGAATGTATCAAAAAAAATAGATTGTATCTCCCAACTCTAACGTATATCTATTAGATGAAACACTAAGATAGCAAAAATGCAAGAGTATATATCACTGGTGATGTTTCGGTTTGGAATAAGTTTGAAATATTCATAAGCATCTTTTTAGAGTGCAAGCCAAAAACTGGAAGAAGTTGCTTTTAATTAAATAATGTCTGGTGCTGATTTATTGCCAGTTAAACATGTTTCTTGTTTACAAGTTATTCAATTAAAGCGACATTTAAAGATGAGCCAGAGAGTTAAATTTGGAGCTCATTGTTCTTTTATAGATGAACATCAGTGTATTTGTTGGCTGTTTCTATCTCCTTCAACAACAGCTTGAGGTTTAAGGATTAGGAAGAATGCTGTGCCGTCCTTTGTTTGTCTGACAGACATAACCGAGGAAATGGCTTCTTTTTGAAAGAAGTTAAAGTAAAGATTGAGATGTCACCAAATTAGAATATTTTGTTCCTGCTACTGATCCAAGTAGGTATTCTGTGCAATACTAAATGATTTATATTTTGCACTCCATTGTGATCATTGCCATCTGGAGAGAGAATCTGCAATGGGACACAATATTATCACTGAGCTATGATGAGTGGATGTAGTCTTTCATTGATTGTAGGAATCTTTATGTCATAAGTGATAATTGCATTTGTGAGAGTAGAGTCAATAAAATGAAATAGTCCAAGTAAAACATTGAGCAAAGCTGATATGCAACTACAGTATTGTTAAGAACTTTACATACACATATAGACATATTTTTCTTATATTTGGACCTTTTCACTATGCATTTGAGCTGGACAATTCAAAATAGGAAATGATGCTTTATATGCAAGCTCAAACACAAACACATTGGTTTTCTTTATGTCAAAACCATTTCTGATGTGGGTTAGGAATCATTATGTTAGTAGAAAATTCAAATATGTTCAAGTTCCAACCATCTAGCTGCTGGGTTTGTTAATTTGGACTTAGCTTTTCTTTCTCATTATTTCATCTACTTTGTGCAAACAATGCATTCCTGCAACATAATGTTTCCACTACCGTGCTTGGAGTGCAGTATTCCTATGCTTGACAGCCTTGTTTTGACTGCTGCAAATATACTTTTTATCTCTGTGGCAATAAAAAGGTAAATCTTTGTCTCGCCTCACCATAAAATGTATCTTAAATGAACAAGTCAAACCATTCACTGTCTAAACCATTTATTATTTTATTTTACTGGGGGAATAATTTAATTCTGATCAGAAAGAGTGTAATAGAGTAGATTAGATTAGATCTTTATTGGTCATTATCACCCTGCATAATAAACTGTGAGGTGCCGTCCTGTCAAGCAGAAGTCAAAGGCAGGATGATGAATAGTTGAAACTGCAAGTCTTTTAAGGACGATGAAGCTCCTGTTAGCCTCTTCTCTAACACAACTAGCCAGTTTCTGACTTTTCACTCAAGGTTTGCTTTAAACTGCACAACTTCTCACCCAACACCATAAAGCTACCACTTGTTTCGAGTGTGATAATGTGTGCTCCATTCATCGGTGTTGCATCAATACACACACAAAAAAAATCATCTATATTCTCTTAGATTCAGTTAAATTTATTTCTGTTTTGCTTCATTTAAAATATGAGATTATTATTATTATTATTATTATTATTATTATTATTATTATTATTATTTAGAACTAGAAGTTGATGTTAGGAAATTTACAGGTGAATTATTTTTGACTACAGCAAATTTTAGAAATAGACACAGTTTGGACTCAAATTTATTGTCGCCGACTTTAAACTAAGCGGCACAATGTACTGGATGTACTGCACACAATGTGTACAGGACATCCAGAAACTACTCACAGCACTTCACTTTCTCCACATTGTTATTGTACAGACTTATTCCAGACTGTATTAAATTAACATCGACACAGAGTTACACACGACAAATAAACATAACCACAACAAATTCCTAAACTGAAGAAAAACAAACTTAAAAAGCACCAAAAGAATATGACACAAAAACCCATAAACCTGTATTTTTATCTATCTGTTTATGACTTTATCAAATCCATTCATTCAATTTTACAAGTGTTATTTTGGCTGGGCTCTAAATTTTTATGAGGAGTTAAATGACACATATTTGTTTTTTTATGTTTATTTATGTATAAGTTAATGGAATATCTCAGGAAAAGCCTGCAGTCTATGTATTATTGGATAATCTCCATGATTCAAAAGTATTAAAATCTCATGGGATGTTTCCTGCTTGTGAAAGCCTGCAGCTTTGTCAGTAAACCCAGTGTAAAACACACATTGGAGTTCTCTGTATCGTTTATATATTTTTCAAAATATGTACTATTGGCTTTATTTTCCAATTAGGTGCTGTCCTGTACTAAAGAAGATACAAACAAGTTTACAACGTTGCCGTTTCTGAACGTACTGCTATCTTCCGTGGATGAAGTATTTCAGTAGTATTGCTCACACAGGTAGTACTCAGTGTGGGCCGCAGTAATGAGCATCTCCCGCAGCGTGCTCCTGATCCCTCTCTCACATGGAAGCCTCAAATCCTTTGTCATTAACACACTGGCATGCTCTTTATTCATTAATGTGCCTAAGCATTGTCCTTGCATATTAAATTTACATTTTCTCTGATCTTCTTGCACTTCAGCTTCATTGTATACTTTATAAATTCCTGGTCTTACGTTTAAAAAGCTGAGGATTACCGAAGCAAATCCTGTCTGTCAGCGTGTCGAGTAGATCAACGTGATGGGATTTTACTGTTGACGATCACTTGCGTTTCTGAATCACATTATTGACATCAAACATTTTCTAATTCTCTGGCGAATTATTCAATGTCCAATTAAATTGAGTAACAGACATAATCTAAAAGAAGACAACTTTTAGCATGAAATAAAATGATTGATATTTGTTGTTGAGCTCATGTGCCCGTTCAATAATTTAGCAGCAAAATTGGTTTTTGAATTATAAATGTTTATTTTGTCGATATATGGTTTTCGATTAAAACTCAATTAATTTTGACAAATTTATTACAGACCTTACAATATTAAAAAATGTAATTGACTCCCACCACTGATGAATTTATATATACATATTTGGGTCAACATGATCCCATGTGGTTCAGCTGGACCTGCTGAGGTT